TCGATATTAAATTAAATCATTACAATTTTTACGTAGTCAGCTCGATGTGGACCTAATTTTAGAAAGAGTTCCATCATTCGATTCATATATAATCTACCAATGACCAAGTTTTATTTTAACAAAACCGAGAACGAATAGATAACTTAATTATTTCACAATTATTTTCTAATAGTAATACATCTTAATTAATTTTTTAATAATAATAATGCGGGAGAGAGTATACCAGATTCAGCGCATCTTTCCAAACAACGTTTTCTGAATCTAGACCGAGTGTGTCGAGGCATTTATGACGCCTGGTGTAGAAGAGCGAGAGGGAAAGAGGATTCAAGAGAGCGAGAGAGGTAACGGAACCGCACATATAGATGCGGATGCGAGTCTATCTGGGCGCACTATCGGTTCACAGAGCCGAGAGCCGAGAGCGAATATTGTGTTTACCCGTACGCATGGCTTTGCGGTGCAAATAATCTGGTATTATTGCACTTACTCCACGTACGCGGGCGAAACTCTTCGCCAACTGCCATCCCGTCGCTTCCGCTTCTTTGTCGCAGCGCTCTTCGTGCCGGATTTCAATATCCGCTCGCGCTAATGTTAATGCCGCGTATTGTGCCTCTGAAATTTCACGACGCGCGAGATGCTGTAATGATTATTATTCGCCGTCTTGTGTTCTAGACACACGTTCTATTCCATCATGCATATTCCGTTATGCATTCCACTTTAGCGTTTTATGTCTAATTGCTTAATAACTCAAGATACAATTTAATATTTTCAAACAAGACTTCACTCGAAATTTATTCATATCAAAGGAAAATAAATTGTAATTTCATAAAATCAACTGATTATTGTATATTTTAACAAAGTTTTTATTTTTATTTATTTATTATACTGGTCGCTGATACTCTCAGAAACAAACAATTGCACTCTATTGCACAGGGAAAAACGCGATTCGTTGATGTGACGATTCAGTAAAAATATTTTCACGCATTTCTCATACCGGGGGGGATTTTTCTCGCGCGAAGGGTATCGCGGCGAAGTGTTGAAAAGCTCTGCCTTTCGGTTTTCTCCCTGCCGATTCAGCGATTACCGCACCTTAATCTCAAGTTCTGGTTAAATCGACGAAGAGGACGGGGTGGAGGAAAGGAAACGTGCGAGCGCGAACGCGGGGTGTAGTGCACCCCGTTCCATAGAACTCTTCGAGATTCGCCATTCACTTCGCGGCGGATTGCGGATTCCGAGAGTTCCACCATTCGATCCGATTGCTTCTTACCCTGGACTCTCGTATTTACCTCCTGATTTCTTCCCTCTCGCCCCTCGTTCCCGTTCCCTCGCCACCGTTGATCTCCTCGGACCAAATCTTCCGGAAATTCCAGGGTGAACCGCCATCGGGTGTCAACTTTATACTGGCAGCTACGAAACTACGAATAGCAAAGAGAATTCGCACTGAATTCGAGAAATCGAAAACCTTTTCGATTTAATTCTTTGACAAGATCGATCGAACGTTGAAATCGTAATCGATAGTAAAGGTTATTTTCATATTTATTTTTTCATATTTAGTAGGTGATTGTACTATTTGAAATATTTAAATCATTTGTTTATTTGAGAGATTAAGATGAAATATATGGTTTTAACTGGAAGATAAAAACATTTTTTAGAGAATGGAATATGTAGATTTTAATGTATAATATACAACATACAATTTAATTTAATTTTAAACAAAGATTTCTTAAAATATGGTGTATAGAATTTTAGAAAATACAACGTAATAATGAAACAAAAATGTAGATATGCACGATAATCATATTTATATATCTAATAGGCATATAATTTTTCACACGTATTTATTACATCAATATATATATATATATATATGCTAATCTCAATTAAGTTTTTAAACATATTGAAGTTTTAATGAAATGTAACAATATCATATAAAATACAGTAAACGGCTTTGCATTATTTCTTTAAAATAATTTAAAAATAAGCCCGTTATTCAATTCACGGAAGATAGACTTAAAAATATTCATATGCGTCTAAAAAGATCCACGTTTAAGGAATCGTTGCCGCATTCCGCCGTCTACATAGCACTATGCGACCTAAAATCCTCAATCTTGCGGGAGAGCTGACGTTGAAAAATAGAAACGCAACCGCTTTTGCGGTGACAAAAGTGCGCACGGTGCGCGGCACAAAGCCCACAAAGAATTCAAAAGGGGGGAAGGAAGAGGAGGAGGAGGAGGAGGAGGAGGAGGAGGAGGAGGAGGAAGA